GGGAAAGGAATGTTGTTCGAATGTGAGCAGCCCTTTATGGGGAGAAGCGTTGCGTGACGAGACTAAAAACGGTTTACCATTTCTCGCTTATATTTGTCCTGTGGGGGATTTAACTAGTGTCTTGATAGAAAATATAAAGTTTACTGTTTTCCATCTCCCCTTTTTAAATTCTTTCTTCCAATCATGAAAGGTTCCTTAGCTACCCAAGGCGAAATATTCACATCATGGCTGACGTTGCATCCATTTCATTTGTTTCTTGGCAGGTTTGAAATTGTGCATGGGTTGTCCAGTGGACAAAGATTTGATGAAATTTGTCAGCATTGAGGTAACCAACTTAGCACAGAACGTAGAAACCATTACGAAATCCGATGCTGATGAAGCCAAGAAGATAAGAGAAGCTCTTCGAGACGCCACAGATGAAATAATGAAGTTTGATAAACGTATAGTGGACATAGAAAGCCGACTGGAGGAAGGGCACCAAGCGCAAACAAAAAAGAACAAAGAATTCTCATCAGTAATTGAAGATATTTTTAACAACATGACAAAAATAGAGGAACGCCAAGATACAAATGAAGAAAACATTTTTTTGTTAGAAGAAAGGCACGATGAGCTAGAATCCACAGTAACCTCTTTAAAGGACGGACAGAGTGCCTTAACCTCAAAGGTGGAGATTTTAGAGGTCGGACAAACTCAGTTAGATTCTCGGCTGAAAAAGTTAGAAAAAGGTAATGCCATTGCCACAGTCGATTCTAAAATTTTGCATCTGCCCAGTCGCAATCGTTGCTTTTGTGGTCGTGAAAGTGAGCTACAACGAATTGCAGCGCAACTGAAAAATATTGTGAGGGGTTGTTCGGAATCAGCAATTTGCGGTCTCGGCGGTGTAGGAAAAACATCTCTGGCTGTCGAGTTTCTCTGGCGACAGAAAGACAAGAAGGAATATCCCGGTGGTATTTTCTGGATTTCGGGTGAAAAAAAAGACCTTTTCGAATTGTCTGTCAGCGAGATGGCACGTCAAATTGGAACTTTTGATGACAAAGACTTTTCCAATTCGCTGTCAAGAACCTTGGACTGGTTGGGAAAGCGTGAACAGCTGTGGTGTCTAGTGGTTGACAATCTGGATGAGTTAGAAATGTCCATGGATATGCGGAAGTTGCTGACTGGTCGTTGGAAACAAGCCGCCCGTGGTCATATCATCATAACCACAAGAAGAGAAGCAACAGAAATCGGCGAAGAAACAGAAATAGAAGAAAGCTCTTGTATTGAGTTGAAATGCTTCACAGAGGAAGAGGGAGTTCAATTTTTAAAATCACGAAGTGGGACAGCCGGACAAGACAGTGATTTTCGTGAGCTGGTTGAAGAGCTTGGTGGACTGCCTTTAGCTCTTGATCAAGCTGCTGCTTACATTCGATGTCTTCGCCAGCCTATCAAAGAATATCTGAAGAAGTATAGGAAACAAAAGATGCTTCTCTTGAAAAAGAAGAAGGCTCGTAATCTGGTGGAAAATACACCACCTGAGCGACTGGCTGTCCACACAACATGGTTGTTAAATTTTAAGCACGTCAATCAAATGTCAGAAGATATGGATCTTGGAGAAACCCCCTCTATCGTAATGAAAATTTGTGCCTACCTAGGTCCCGATGACATTCCATACCAGGTGATAAACGAAGGACTCCACGTTGTAGGAACTTCTAAGGTAGTAAGTGATTTGTGGGATGCAGCCGAGATAGTGTCTCTTCTTACTAAGTTTTCCCTTTTTCAAAGGCATGGGACAGATTCTTTCAGCGTTCATCGTCTGGTGCAAGACGTCATCCAAAGTGAGATTGAAAAGGACGAAATTGAACTTCGTGTACTTTGCTGTGCCGTGCACACACTTAACCATGCACTAACAAAAACGCTCTCCCCAGCGGAAGTCTGCCGAAGTTTCGTTGAAGATGCGGTTTTCAGTGTTGAGAATCCTCCTTCGTTACAACTGTGGGGCAAGTTGGCTTCGCACTCGACCTACTTGCAAGAACATTTGCGTACCTACGTAACAAAACATGAAAATGATGTCGAGAGCTTGCATAGTTTGCTCTACACTGATGCAACTATTCGTATCTTTAACGAAGCAGCGATATTTTTTGGTGTTTCGCATCAGAATGTGAAAGCTCAGGCCATGCAAAAAAAGAAACTAGAGTTGCTAGTACACCTTGAAAAGCCGACTCTTGAGGAAGATTGTACCTTGCCTCATTACTTTGTTGATGTACCTTTGAAAGACAAGGACCACAAGGTGATAACGTGTTGTATGAGAAACCCTCCTCCTGAAAACGAGGCCTTGGCTGAAGAAGATTCTGTTTATAATGAGAGGAAGGTGGAAGGCGACCAACTGAGAGAAAAAGGGAACGATGCATTTAAAAGTAGAAATTTCCAAGAGGCACTGCGTCTTTATACAAGAGCCATTTATCTGTGGCCTGAAGACCACCAGTTGTTTGGTAATAGGGCCCTCTGCCATTTAAAACTTGGAGACCCAAGAAAAGCTCTGGAAGATTGTAAAAAATGTCTTTATCTAAAACCTGGTTACAGCAAAGCACTTCAACGGAAAGCTTGGGCTCTGCGAGAACTTGTAGAAGGTGGAAATAATGAGCTTGGAGGGCAGAAACGTGCAGCAATAGCAGTCGCCCTTCACTTCGATCCCAGTCTTCGCCAAGACAAAACGTTTTGTCAGAGGTTTCCTGAGGTACCAGGACTTCGCGTCAGAGAGATAAACAATGAAACTCAGCTGGCGTTTGCTTTGATGAC